GCAGGCCTGGGGCAGGTGCGGGGCAAGGCAGGGGCGGGGCCGGGCAGGGGGCAGGTGCGGGGCAAGGCAGGGGCGGGGCGGGCAGGGCGCAGCCGGGCAGGGGGCACCGACTCGGGGCGCCCTGCCCCGCCGCAGGAGGAGCCCGGAGCTGGACCGACCGACCCCAGGGGCTTCACCTGTGTCTCGGCAGCCGGGGCGGGGCGGGGCTGGGCCGGGCAGAGGAACCGGTCGGCGCTCCCGACCGGGCAGAGGAGAGGGACCGGGCTCCTCGCAGGCTCTCCCCGGCGAACACCGCTCCGCGCCCAGCCGCAAGTCACGTGAGCCGCGCTCAGCTGGGGTGGTCACGTGTGCCCGAGGCATTCTGGGAGCTGTAGTCCCTAGGGCCAGGCTCCCTTAAAGGGGCCGCGCGCGCGAGGGGCAGGTGAGCGCCGGCCCTGGGGCGGGGCTCCCCGGGCTCGTGGGGGGCATTCCCTGGGCTGGGCACGGAGCCTGGGGGCATCACCCCGCCAAGCGGGCTCACACATCACTGTCCTCATGAAACACACGTGTGCATTGCAACATGCGACTGGCAGACACGGCCCCGCCCGGGCAGCCGGCTGCAGCTTGGCTGTTTGCCATCGTGTGCAGCATCCGGGCTCCGGGGTCCATGACCCCTGCGCAGAGCGTCCTGGCCAGCACTGGCCAGCGGCACAGCAGGGGGCCGGGCCCTGGATTCGCCCCCCAGGCCCCAGGCTGCGGTGAGTGCAGAGCGCTGAACAGTGCAGCACTCCCGCCGCCCCGCGCAGACCCTGCCAGCACGCTGGGTACCTGCCAGAGCTGCCAACAGGGCCTATACAGGGCACTGTGAGCCCAACGCCCTGCAGCTTCCAGGCACCCGCTTGGCCCCTAGAGCCCAGGTAGGGCCGGGCGCAAGGAAGAGGGGGCTGTTGTAATCACTAGGCCTGTAACGTGATCCTAAGTGTGGTCTGAACTGTGAAAAGGAAGTGAAAGTTCAGACAGCGTCACAATAACCTAGAGTGACAACCGGGGGAAACCCGGACGGACGGTAACCCTAGTTTATTGCAAACGTACCAACGCGTTGGGGTAGCAGTCCGAAAACTACCACACCTAGCACAGCACGCAGGCTGCCTTTATTCCGTCAAACCACAAGCATAGTACAAATAGTACGTCATTTATACAAAAACAAGAGTAGGGGTCTGTCCCTTTTTCCCGGTAGCTCCGTCATTATTTACGAGAATTGGGTGCCTATTGGGTGGGGGGGTTTCTTGGTGGTTTCTGACATGGGTGATACTTGGCACCAGTTGGGGTGTTGTTCTCGTCAGGGTACATATTGTTTTTTTTCGGGGTCATAGGAGTTTATTACGGGACGCCCACAGATGATATATGATTAGATAGCTGGAACTATAGGAGAAGTTGACCTTTACTAGAAGCAACTTCTTCATATAGGCGGTTATTATGTTTTATAAACAAGCAGTTATTCTGTTGCTAAGGCCTTTCGCATTGTTTCCTTCCCCTCCCTCCTCTGGTCAAAGCCCATGACCGTATTTGGCAGGGAATTGCACAGCTTAGTTTTGTTCAGGCCCTGGCCTGTACTGTTTCATGTAAAGGCCATCTGTATAGTCAGCTTCTGCAAGAGGACCTGAATTTGGGCCTTCGGTGTTACTTTGGCTGTCATAAAGAAGGCCACCTAGTTCTTTTTCCCCACAAAGCTAAAGGCAGAAGCCGCATTTCCAGTCTTTGCTGCTTCCCCCTTGTCTGTGCCTTGTTTGTCTTTAAGAAATGAGATCAGATTTTAACAACAGCCCCAGCCCATCTCAACTCACTTCTTCTCTTCTCCCCAGGCGGCCAGTGCTTATCGTGGAAGAGACTGTCAGACGCAGGGGGTTCCTGGAAAGACTCTCTCCAGTGAATGGTAAAGGGAACAGGAAAGATCGTTAAAATAAAACCCTCACTTGTGTGCGCCCAGTTGCCCAAGTGACGCAGATCGTGGTCGATGACCTGTCCTCTCCATCATTCACCACCCGCCGAGCCTTTGGCTCAGTTGCAAACTTTATCAGTGATGATTTGATGTTTTCTTCCAGGTCTCTGGGAATACAGGGCAACTCCAGTCGTGTGGCAGGTTTCACTTCACTTTCATGTAACACTGTAAGCAGCTGCTTCTCCAGGGATGTGCAGCCAAGTCTCCGGAGCGAGCATGTGGGTTAAATGTTCTCTGCCTGGGGCCACAGGTTTCGTGCTAATTCCCAGCTGGATTCCGTCCCAGTGAGGCACCTGCTCCCCCAAGCCAAGGGCACCTGCCAGGGAGCTGGGGGGCGGGGGAGGAGAGAGAGACCAGGCAGGGAGTTGTCATTCCAGCCCTGCAGACAGAGCAGCCACAACCCCGGCATGCCCAGCTGGATGGTCTGGGGAAGCGTCAGGCTGGTTTCGATCCCTCACCTCCGGCCAGCGGGGGCTGCTTATGCCGGCTTAGCCTGCTCTGCTACTCAGTCAGTGGATCCGAAAGGAGCCAAGCTGCATGCTGGGTCTGTTGCTCTTTACACAGCAAATACAAGTGGAAGAAACCACACGGGCACAGGGGCTCAAATCACCCTGTCTGCCTAACCATGGACACCATGCGAGCCTAGCTACACCCCGCCCTGCCTCTCTGCAGGGGCTGCGGGGGTTGGAACAGAGAAGACAGAGAGCACCACTAGAGTGCTCACAAACTACTTCAAGGGATACTGGCCAATTCTTATAGACTACGCAGAGAGACTGGACTGGGAGCAAGGGGACCTGTTGCGGGAGTTCAGATCTGACACCCCAAGGGCTGGTCAGAATCCAGGGGGTCCAGCACCCGCCCCCCACCCCCAGGCTGGCCCTAGCGATGGGAACGTTCCTCAGAGTCCCCACACAAAGGTCCCTGTGAGCCGTGACCAGAACCCCTGCCCTTCTCAGAAAGCACCTTCCAGGTGCGTCTTCTCTTCTCCCAACCACCCCAGCAACAGCTGGGCCAACTTTGTTCTCTCGCTTTTTTCTACGAAAAGTGGCTCTTTGAGTCAACAGAACATTTCTTGCATAAATGTCCTTTAATTTTGGGATGGGGGTGTGTGATAAATTGGGGGGGTAGCTCCCTTTTATGGACACCCACCCAGCCAGTTAGCTTAAAATCCCTCTTAGTAGCTGTTCTCTACTTGTTCTACCTGGTTAAAAAGGGTTAAAAAGTCTCACTGCTTTGCAAAGGTAAAAGGAAGTGAGTGGGCACCGGGCCAAAGAGCCAATGGGAAGGCTAGAACTTTTTAAAATTGAAACAAGACTCCCCTTTTGTCTGGCTGTGGTTGTTCTCCTGGAGAGGAGACACAGGACTTGTCTACACTACCTGCCAGATTGGCGGGCAGCAATCGATCCAGCGGGGGTCGATTTATCGCATCTAGTATAGACACGATAAATCAACCGCTGAGCACTCTCCCATCGACTCCGGTACTCCACCTGAACGAGAAGCGCAAGCGGAGTCAATGGTAGAGCGTCAACTTGCTTTTCCATCTACATTTTTTCACAGAAAATCAAATCCATCCCCCAACCAGCCCCATTCCCATCAGGCTCCACTAGGACGGCCACCTCTGAGAGGCAGAAAACCTGGCCACTGGCCATCTTTCCCCCCCTCCCCCCCAACAAAAGCCAGCCACTGGCTACCCCCCAACAAAAAAAACAAAAATGGCCACTGGCCCCCCACTGCCCCCAACAAAAAGCAGCCTTTCCCCTCCTGCCACCAGCAAAACCTGGCCACTGAGCATCCAACTGGCCACCCCCCAGCACCACCAGGAACAAGACGGCCCCTAGTGCTGACTCCAGCTAGTGACTCCCAGCATTCAGAGAACACACACACAACTCAATCTATATTTTCATGTTATTTTAGCATTTTTCTTTCCTTATGCTAACATGGCGTCACAGCCTGGGCTGCCAGGCATGAATTGTAGTGCGCCCTGACACGTCCCCAGTGAAAACCCCAGCACAATCCTCTATGCAGCCAAGTGCTACTAAATTGGCCAGCTGGCAACCTCAGCTCCAGAGTCACCGTCCCAAACGCATGCCTTCTCCTCCCTCACCGTGAACCACAGCCCAGGGTGCGCCAGAGACCGTAGGTACCCTGGGAGGGTCTTTGTGCAGACAGGCTGTGACGTTATGAGTGTAATATACTATTTCATTGGAAGGTGACAGGGCCAGAAAGAGTTAATTACCTCCCAGACTGACCTGACCCATGGGTGAACCTTAAGGACTGGTTAGGAAGGTATGTAAATGCAGCCCGCATTGTTAGAGATCTCAAGGGTAGATGTTTGCTCAGGTCTTGTGATGTAAGCAAACAAGTCTTGTCTATTGCTATAACTTTAATTCAAAGATCAAAAAAGGGAATATTAACATTTAGGAAGACACTTGAGTGAAATAGTATTATTGTCTCTATGTCTCGTTGAAGGTTGTGGTAATCTGTATCTGAACTGTTTAATGGATAAATTACCCTGTGCTAATTGCCAGGATGTTTGGGAGAAGGAGAATTAAGCCTATTGTTTTCTCAGGCCAAAAGGCTGCTGGAAATGTATAAGAACCCTGGGACACGATCCTTTGGGATTGGAAGAACCTTTTCTTTTATATGATGAGATAAGATTTTCAGTAATCATCATCATATCTGACGTGTGTGTCTGGACGGAGGCCTGAGGCTGGGCACTTTAAGGGAACTGCGTTGTTTGGCCTTCTGAGTAACCAGTGAGGTTCTATGTTTTGTGCTGGTTGGTAAATCTAAGTATTAAAATATCCACCAGCGTTCGGGGTTTGTCTGCCCCGTTCTGTTTGCAGTTCACCCTAATTGAGTGACCTCAGCTGGCTCCCACGGGCAGCGCCGTCACACAGGCCCAGCCTGTGCCAGACTTGGGCCCAACCTGGCTGTTTTCTGACCGTGCTCTACACCATTGCTGAGCATGACAGCGCAGCAGGACACGGGAGGGTTTGCGGTGCAGCGGGAGAGAACTCACGACTGAAGAGAGGGGGGATTATGGGGCGAATGACTAGGAAAGATCCAACCAGGAGCAGCGTGCGTGTGTGTGTGCGTGTGCGTGAGAACGCGTGTGTCAGCCAGTGCAGGTGTGAGAATGAGCGAGTGCTCAGCTGGGGGATGGGGAGTAGCCAGCTCTGCGGGGGAGGGGACAGTGAGTATTTGTGCACTTTTGCATTCACACTGAGCTAGCTCCTGGGCTGGGCTGGGGAATTTCTCTGGCAGTTGTCAAGGCAGAATGGAGTGTTTTAGTCCCTTGTCAGTGATGCAAAGGGGCTCCAGACAGCCTGGGGTAGG